TACGTATTAACTTCGCGAAATTTTGAATTATAAAAATCTATATAGCGCAGATTTTTAAACAACGTATCATAATTACAGTATTTACAAAATTTATCGTATTTATATTATTGATAAAGTATATCACAATTGCAGTATTAAAAAAGTGTATCGTGATTGCACCATTAAAAAGATGTATTGTAGCTGTACTGTTAAAAACATTTATCATAATTATATTGTTAGAAACGTGCAGCATAATTATACCATTGAAGAAGTTTATTATTATTGCACTATTAAAGAAGTGTATCATAATTGCACTATTGAAAAGGTGTAACGAAATTATACTATTAAAAAAACGTGTACTATAATTACACTATTAAAGAAGTGTATCATAATTGCACTATTATTTTAACAGTGCAATTATACGACTAAAAACGTGTACTATAATTACACTATTAAAGAAGTGTATCGTAATTGCACTGTTAAAAAGGTGTATCATAATTACACTATTAAAAAAGTGTGTCATAATTGCTCTATTAACATTTTGACTGCCGTATCACCCATATGTAAGTGACAGAGTTACTTAAAATTTAATTTTTAAAAATCCATTTTTACGCTAATACATCGTAATTTGTTAATTTTATTCAGATTCGCAAGAAGTAAGAATGTTGAAAAAATAATTGATGTCATACAAATTTCCTTTACGATTCCGATTTAATTGAGTAAAATACTTCGATTTTGTAATTTTTTTCATATTTTTGACGCCGTCGTCGAAGTGTTTACTTTTCATAGATTTTTTAATTTCAATAAATTTCGTCTCCTAATGCTTAAAGTAGAATGCTGACAGTGGAAATGTTTCAGACGGAAGTTGGACACTTTTTTACGTTGAATATGATTCTGAAATAAAAAAATGTAAGTTCATGATAAAAAAAGCAAGATGACCTTGAAATAACCTTGGAAACGTCCGCGCATTAGAAAACTAGCAGTGCCATTCGACTCTCCACACATATTAAAGGACATGAGTCAGTTTTCTTTTTTCAGTCACGTGTCTACAAGGTTTTTCACAATCTCAACTATGACTCTGCATACAGGGTGTCCCATTTTAAGTAATGCACCCAATGATCTCCTAAACTATAGCTCGTTTCAAGAAATGTATCAAACGAATCTTATCCTGTTTCGAAAGGTACACCCTATAATGATCGCAAATTTTTGCTCGCTGGAGGTACTTTCAAGATTTCAAGGTGACCTTGGTTTCTTTTCATGGAATTGTATGTTTTATTTAACGTAAGCAGATAGTGCATTTCAAGGTCAATTCATAGACTTAACTACTTTGGTCTTTGAAGGTCGTTCGAGGTCATTTAAAAGGTCAATGAATCGACCTGGAAATGCACAATGCGTTTGCATGAAAAAAAGTCAAGGTCACCTTGAAATCTCGGATGCACGTCCACTGTTCATTCAGCAAAAATGTACGACCTCTAGAAACAGAATAATCGTCGCTCCTAATGGAGCACCCTGTACATAAGATGCTAGTATGGCACACGCGAGACCCGGCCTCCGGCCATTGTGGTCCGTTACGCGAGGGTCACTTTCCTTCAACAGCCGTTTCCGCGATTCTAAGTTCCCGTTGTCCGACGTTTCCACTAATTTTGAAACGATGTTCGCCGATCGCGGGAGAAAAACAACAATTCGAATCGGGAGAGAAACGTTACCTGATAATATTCCTCGTCGTCCTCCTCGCTGTCGCTGGTCTGCGACATGTGATTCTTGGGGAAATGAAGGCTCTGGGGGAACACCATGGTTATCGTGCTCTTGTCGTCGACTATCGTCGTGTGACAGGACTCCGAGGGACTATTGGGCGCGCTGAGCGGTTCCCCTTTGATCTCAACGCATTCCACATCTTCAGGTACTAGGTTGCTGGTTCTCTTTAGGATAATCGTTGAGGTAGACGACGCAGGCAACGTCGTCGACGATGACGACGACGACGACAGCTCGCTGCGCCCTGTGCTGGTGTTCATCGAAATAACCGGGAAACACTCCTCCTCCATATCTGCAACCGAACGGTCCTCCATTTATCACTGTGCACAATTTTCCCCGACAGTTATGAACGGTCTCTGTAGACCTTTATGTAAACTATTTTTGTTTTATTTTATTTTATTTTGCTATAGGGAAGCCCCAGATTAACCACTGTGTCAATAACCAAAATTGACGAAGTTGTTCTACAATTGGGCACTGTTATGATGGCCGCCTATATAACGTTATTTTTTTTATATAACTTTTACGTAATTATGTAAACATTAACTTTTAGTTACCTTATATTTATTACCGCAATAAAATGTCATTTTTATTAAGAGGTATTCTAGCGTGAACTTCTGAGAAATCAATTCTTTTTCTGAGTTTTCTTAAGCGATTGAAAAAACATCTCTGGAATCTTACACGCGAACTCCTAAAATTAACGAAGTTATGATTGCTTGAAAGACGCGACGACCTTGCATTATTATCGATACACTAAGCTTTAAAGGCATTTTTCTCGAAACTATGTTTTTTAGTGTGCCCATGATACAGTAATTTCTCTCGGAAATGACAAATTTCGGGTTGCTATGAATTTCTCTGTGCTAGTCCTACGCCTATCTTGGTTGAATCGTGGCATGTGCCCTCCGAATTGCCCTCAAATCGTGGCATGTGGCCTCCGAAATCCCTTCGAATCTTATCAAGTGTCCTGCAAATTGCCTTCGAATAGTGGCATGTGGCTTCCGAAATCCCTTCGAATCGTGTCAAGTGCTCTTCAAATTATCTTCGATAATTACGTGTTATATTTATTGCAATAAGTAAATAAAGTTTGAAACATCTTCATTAAAGTTTCATTCTTCAGCGAGGAATTTATAACGATAATTATCCATCTTTTAATAATAAATACAAAGTTAATTACTCATTACTATGCTGAGCATTCGATTTATTTTCGGGCATAATTAACTTCACGTACATGTGCATATCTCAAGATGTACAATTTTTTTTATTCTTCTATTCTGTTTATATTTGAATAACAAAATTTCATACGTTTTATTCGATAAATGTAAAGTTAATCCACTTTATGATTTATCGAAACTTATTCGATAAATGAAGCGAATTATTCAAAAAATGAACAAAATAAACGTTTAAGAAGCCTACAAAGTGCATTTGTTAAATTCTCATACCAAAAAGTAAAGAAAAAAGACAGCAAAATTAAAAAACTCTAGGAATTATCCTTTCAATGCTTGAAAAAGATTCAAGTCATTTATTCCAGTTTCGTTAAAGTTATACCGTAATCAACACTAATTGTTCACCAATTTTGAACATTCATTTTCATTGTGACATATTCGAACAAACGGAATCCGACTAGACTGTTTCGCATACGAAAGAGTTTCAACGCGTCACCCACCACGATCGATTTTAACTTTCTAGTTTCGGTGCAATGAATTAAATAGCTTCGACTCTGAAAATTTCAGCGGCGGATCGTCGTCTCTGAAACTGTTCAATCGTTTCGGACACTATGTTACATTACGGGAAACGTTAAGCGCGTCGTCGACGAAATTTCTCTCATTAGCCTGCCTTCGGGGTTTTTTTTTTCCTCGGCACGTCCGTTAGAATCGTTGTCGAGGAAATCGCGAGACAACGGTAATAAGATCCAATCATTATGTGCTTCTGATACGCCGCGATTCCGACGGTTACGGTGTCGTCTTCGGCACTTAATGGATCAACGACGTCTACACGCCATAAATTAGCCGGCGTTTATAGTAAAAATACGTCCCGTTAATGCATTATCTCTCACCTCTGTCCCGTAATACTATACACCGCCATTAAAGATTCTGACGCGGCACTTTTCCAAGGATGAGAATGTGATTACACGCGGATTACAGTTTTTTTTTAACCAGTCGAGATCGCGTCGGAATAAAAACAACGAACTCGTTGAATAAATATAAAAAAGATACCGTGCGCGATACAACAAACTGTGTCTATGCACAATTTTTCTGCGTACTCTCAAGTTCTCCCGCCATCTGTTCTAGGACGTTTGCTCCGCCCATTATCGAACTCCGGAGTGGGAGTGACCTTGACCGAGTGGTCTTCCTTTGCCTTCGTCGTAAAACACAATTGTGGCGATTAAAAATAGACAGAACTGCGTAATGGTGTATATAAATACGTGAATATTATAATAATTGGTATGAAATGCAGACACCGATTCATACGAAAATGTTATTAGGACTCGGATTTTTTAATAAAAATTTTGGCAACGTGCAAGAGGCACGTGAGAAATTATATTAAATTATCTTAAATGGAGGACGATCATTTTTTCAGGTATTGTATTGTGTGTCGAGAACAACCGGAAAGCCTATACTTTTCTTCTTTTTTCTGCGGACTGTCTATTTTGTCAGTAACTAATATTTTGAAAAGTTCTTTCCAGAACATTAAATGATTTATGAAATATAATCAGACGATAATTAAATGTAATCGTAATTTAATTATTTTTGCAAAAATAATTAATAATAAAAAAAAAATATATATAAAATATAATATATATATAGAAACTAATATAATCAGACGATATAATTAAATGATACAATAAGATATACATAAAAATATAATATATATAAAAATTAATATAATCAGACGATAATTAAATATAATTATAATTTAATTATTTTCGTAAAAATAATTGTGGGGACGAGACACGACAGTTTTTTTAGCGGTGCCTCGGGATATTGAATCGGATATTGTAATGGAGCTGTGAAATTGTTTGATTCTCGATAGCTTACCGTCCATTCTGCCGCGAATGTCCAATGATTTATGATGATCCAGATTGCTGGGGTCTATGGAGGAACTGGTATTGGCGAGGGATGCGGGAACCGTGTCGGCGGATGATCCGGAATTCGGTGTGTGGGGATTTGCTCCGGGGGTCGCCGGACTCGGAGGTGGACTGGACGCTAGGAGGCTGTAACTGTGCTCCGATTTGATCAGTCTTGGACCGCCGAGAGCAGCGTCAGTCATCAAACGATCCCTCAACACCACGCCCAAAGAGGATTTGTCTCGGACGCAGAGCACGTTGCCCCATTCCTCTTCCTTGCTTCCCAATGAAACATCCTGGCCGAGGCCCTGCGAACCAAAATGTAACACGTTCACCGTACGGTTCACGGAATCTCCATGGAATATTGATCACCGAACTCTGAACATTCACGAGGGTTCACCATTTTATGCAGCCACTCGCGGAACCCAAATTACACAAGCATTCTCTGTAGCTATGCGACACACAGTCGGAGCCAAATATACTGGGTACCCTTTAAAACAGTATAACATTTTTAAAACTAGCCTAAACGACTTGAATTTTTTCTTTTTTTGATGATGGTGACTAGTAATAATAGTAGTTAAAAATTAATTAAATTAGTCACTATTATTAATTTTTAATAATAGTGATTAAATTAATTAAATTAGTCACCATTATTAATTTATAATAATAATTAAAAATTAATTAAATTAGTCACCATTATTAATTTTTAATAATAATTAAAAATTAATTAAATTAGTCACCATTATTAATTTTTAATAATTAAAAATTAATTAAATTAGTCACCATTATTAATTTTTAATAGTAGTGATTAATTTAATTAATTAATAATAGTGTATTAATTTTTAATAATAGTGATTAAT